TGGTAAGTTGTCGCACCCCCCAAGTGGCAGATCACGAGTTCGAATTTCACTGGTGATGAAATTCGAATTTAAGAAATGCATTACAGTAAACTGTATGTAATCTGACAGGTCGGCACCTGTAACCTTGATCGTATCAGCTTGTACTGAGAGGATTGCGGAACAGTAGTGTTATATATGAGTCACACTAAATGAGTGATGCACCATATAAATCTAGGGGATCAGGGTATACGGAAGTCCACTTGGCAAGTTCTAAGTAGAGAAGTAGCACAGACTTTCGACGATACTACATAAAGGATCGTCATTAGCAATAGGACACCAATAGCAAATCGGACGAGAACTGGGTGTTTGGCAAACACTAATACCAACCAGGCTGCGTGTAATATGAGGAAAAAGGATTCAATCAAATATCAGAAGACGTTTACTAGTCCCTCCTGGGCCATCTGGATTGGGAGTTTGGAGTGCAGTTGGTTTCAGGAACAGCAATAATTGTCTGTAAAGTGTGTACCGAGGTTTGAGTAAACTCTACAGGGGCAGAAGTAGGTAACAGTAGTGCTTCAGCTTGCAAGTACTTGTTTTTAGACTTGACGTAAGTTACCGAAATCTAGGTTAGCCAGATTGTGGGTATGGAAAACTCTAGTAGGTTTACCTCGAAGACAAAAGACTCCTATAGGTAGGTTTGTCTTAAAGTCCTAAGTTGAGGATCCAAAAATAAGGGGATACTAATGTACTCTCGCTCGGTTAGAGGAATAATGTATATAGACACAGAGTGTTTAAATGGGTAACTCGGTAGGGTTATAACTATGGCAGCTAGTATAGAATTTAGTAATAGAAGTCTAATTAAATAGGCAACCAAAAGTTGCAAATGTGGCTAGTTGTACTCTTCAAATATGTGTATGATATAGTGTATACTATACTGTAAAAGTTAACAATAATTGAATAAAAGGACAATGACCAAGAGGTCACCTTAAAACCAAAAAAAAAAAAAAAGATTCTTAGTGAAATTTTAGTATAAATTATGTCTTTATTTAAATTCTAAATCTAACTTTGCTCTAATATTAAATAAGATTAAATTTTATTAAAAAATTACATATTATTATTTTTTTTTTATGTTTAAAGGCTGGGTACTATGGCTGATTTTTTATTATAAGTCAACGTAATATTTGTTACATGAGCGAGAATACAACTAGCTACATATGTACTTTTGGTGCCTAATTTAAGTAGTCCGCCCAAAGGTTCTATACTAGCTGCTATACCTACAACCCAACTATGGGAATTGCCTATTTAAACCCTCTGACTTATGATCCTCCTATTACTAACCCGATTCACTACATATTGTAGATATAACAGGCCCAACACTTTTATTATGACAGCCTAAGGGCTACTTTACCCTCGTACTAACTGCCTACTGAACAACTTTCTACATCTCAAACATGTAATTATTGCTGGATTTAGTAACCGAAGCTACCTGCTCTTATTAGGTTCGTTCTGATCATAGTACCAGCCTTCTTTTTAGCCTATATCGTATAGACCGATTTCACTACCTCCTAACTCGGGACTTGCCAAACGGGTTCTTGTGGGTTTTTTCCGGTTTTCTGGATTTGCGATGCATTACTGCATCATTGCGCCCGTAAGCTCTCATTCAAGATGGTGGAACCAGGATTACAGGTTTTACACCCAACTGATCAGAAGCCACAATTACCGAATACAGATTTAATTCCAAAACGTCACCAGTGAGATTTGAACTGTCAATCTGCCGCTTGGGGGGTGACACCTTGACCACTTCTCTAAGATGCCACATCCTAAAAAATTACATATTATATAAATATAAAAATTATTAATTAATAAAAGTGTGGTGACTTAGTAAAGTTGGTAAGTTGTCACTCCTCCAAGTGGCAAAACAAAAGTTTAAATCCTAATAGTAATGAAATTCGAATTTTACAGAATATATTATAGCAGACTGTTGTAATCTGATAGGTTTGTATCCTTAAACTTGATCATACCAGCTTGTATTAAAAGGCTGTAGAATATTAGTATGATATATAAATTATACAAAACCTGAGTAAAGCATCCAGGTCTATTTAAGAATTGAGGTACACAGAAGTTTGCTTGGCAAGCTTCAAGTAGAGAAATAGCACAGATCTTTGACGGTACTATGTAAAGAATTATCTAAGAGATTTAAACACCAATTTTAGTGTACAAGAACTAAGTGTTTAGCAAGATACTATACTAACCAGGTTGTTAGACAAGAACTAGAAGAAAAGGATCTAACTATAAAATTAAAAGCAGATCACAGCCCCTCTAAACTATCTGAATTAGAAGTCTGAATTATTAACAGAACTTAGATACTAGTAGTAGTCTATATAGTGAATACTGGAGTTTGGATAAATTCTACAAGACCAGAAGTAAGTAACAGTAATTGTTACTGATTGTTGACTCAGGCCACTTAATTCTGAAGTAATCCAGGTTGATTGTTTTAATTTATTAAATTCTGTTTAAAACAACTATTTGCTAATAGTTAAAAAATATTGATTTTTTGTACAAGGATCAACTAATTTGCTATTACATTTTTAGCAATAGCAGTTAACAGTCATACATATTCTATGGGTCAAAGTAGATGATGATTGAGTAGTGAATTAGATAAATCTTAGTTAATAGATTTTAAAATATCCTTTGCACTTTGTTTTTGAGACATTTTAGAAAAAGAGATTGAGAGACAAAGAGAGAGATTGAGAGAGGTTAAGAAAGAGAGAAAGAGAAAAATTAAGAGACAGAGAGATTAAGAGAAATTAAAAAATAGAGAGAAAAAAAGAGATTGAGAGATAGAGAGAGAGATTGAGAGACAGAGAAAGAAATTAAGAGAGGTTAAAAAAGATAGAGAGAGATTAAGAGACAGAGAAAGAGATTGAAAGAGATTAAAAAATAGAAAGAGAGAGATAGATCAAAAAGGTTAAGAAATAGAGACAGAGAGACAAAGAGAGAAAGAGAGATTAAGAAATAGAGAAAGAGAGATTGAAAGACAGAAAGAGAGAAATTGTAAGAGATTAAAAGACAGAGAAAGAGAGATTGAAAGGTTGAGAGATTAAAGACATTAAAAGAGAGATTGAGTAGTAATTTGTAAATAAATAAGTTACTATTATAAGCAACAAGCTGTTTCTTTATAAAAGCAGCACATATTTATAAAAAATTTATTTTTTATATTGGGAATTATAATTTGGTGCATCATGCACCATGGTGCACCCCTGATCACAGAGTATAAATAGTGATCATCAACTGATTAAATCAGTTGAATTTTTTTTTTGTTTCATACAAGTCGCAGTTAATATATTTAGTGTTTAACTAACGTCTTTTTTTTCAGGTAAGTTTCGCTTGTCTTTTTGGAATCAAGGCTTCCGTTTTGGGTATTGTTTCGTTTTTTTCGCGTTTTCAGATGGGTTTCTCTTAACTTCTTGAAATCAGGCTTCTATTTTTCTTCGTATTCCTCAGGTGGTTTTCGCTTGTCTTCGTGTTTGACTAAAACTCATTTCTTTTTTCAGTAGGTCTCGTTTGTTTTCTTGGAATCAAGGTTTTCAGTTTGGGCATCATTTCGTTTTTTTCGCATTCTCAGGTGGGTTTCTCTTATCTTCTTAAAATCAGGCTTTCAGTTTTGATTATTGTTTTTGTTTTCTTCGTGTTCTCAGGAGGGTTTCATATTAGACTATCGCCTATTTCTTTTTTTAGGTGGGCCTTGCTTGTTTTGAAGTCAGGCCTTCTGATTTTGGGCTTTGTTTCATTTTCTTCGTGTTCTCAGGTGGGTTTCGCTTGTTTTTTTGGAATCAGGGCTCTGGTTTTAGGCGTTGTTTTCATTTTCTTTGTGTTTAACTAATGCCCATTTTTTTTCAGGTGGATTTCGCTTGTCTTCTTGAATCAGGCTTCTAGTTTTGGGCGGTGTTTTCGTTTTCTTTGTGCTTTTAAGGGGGTTTTTGTTTCTTCTTGGAATTATACTTCCAGCTTGAAATCAAGATTTCTGTTTTAAGCATTGTTTCATTTTTT